CGGTGGCGATGTCTTCGTTCTCGTCCACATCGACCTTCAGGAACACCACTTCCGCCGCCAACTCGTCGCTCATTTTGTCCAAAACGGGACCAATCATTTTGCAGGGCCCGCACCAGGTCGCGTAGAAGTCTACCACCACCAATTTGCCACCCGCGCCCGCTAATTGACCATCAAAGTCCGCCTAATCAAAACAAGCATCATCAAAATTAAACAAACTTGCTAACCACGCAACATGGTCCATGTTGGATTGTTTGCCGCAACAACCGTGCGATACATACCTTGTCTGCCACGTGATGGACACCCATTGTATTTGTTTGTATGGATTGGATTGGCGTTCAATTGAATTGATTTAATAGTCAATTGAATGACGAGTTAATTGTTATAAGCGTTTGAAAGCGTTATACAAATGGTGTGACAAATGCCGACAATAAGTGCTGCGAAAAACGCTGTGAAACGCTCTGCGCGTCTCATGTCATGCCTTCAACACAAGCCAACCAATCGCTGCCTCGCTTTCATTACTGAACACTCCCTATAGTGTACTCTATCGGACACTCAACCAAACACTTATTGCCTCAAACTTTTTGATCATTGCATCAAATTGTGATCAATTAAGTGCTAAATCAGTGCATTATTTCACTAATCTATACAACTATTGAATTCATATGACTTAAGCGTTTTGTATTTTTAATATTATTATGTATTTTATATGTATTTATAAATTATACATCTTATATAATACTGAACTATATGTTCAATCAATTCACACAAAATATAATTATTAATTAATTTTAAAAATGAGTTATGAAGTCATAAATTGGTTAACAGTTACCACGTTTACCAATCATGACATCATACTATAAATGCAGACTTAAGTCTAGACATACGGTATATGTTGTAAACTAATTAATGAATCAATACAATAATTATTGATATAACTATTAATTTAATCACTGATAAGTTGGTTACAATAATAGGATCATGATCGGCACACCTACCCAATTATGTGATTACTAGTGTTATAATAATCAATAAGCATTTTTAAATACATGTAGAATATATTGCATTAATTGTTATATCAAGTTATAATTAAACTGTTATCTCATCGACAATATTGAATTAAACCTTTTTGCAATTTGTCAATTATTGCATTGAAAATTGCATTTACCGTAAAACAATTTAGTCATGTCATCTAA